TGTCCTGTTGATCTTAACCCTGGGTCATCCTTGGGTCATTTCCCACCTGTTAGTAGTGGCTTTCTGGGACACCATGTTGAGAAAGATTGTGAGTTTGGATCTGGGCCCAGGAGGGGAAGAAATGAGACCCCATCCTGCATAAGAGCAATTCATTTTCTGGCCCCCATCGCAGGGCCTGAGACTTGCCCTCTGGTCAAGGTTGCCTCATTGTCCAGGTCCTGACTCGGTCATCCAGAACATTCACCAGCCCAGCTTTGAGTGCCCAGGCATCTCTGATAGACACAATGTGTAGGTGAGTCGAGGAAAAACGTCAAATAGGATACAACTGGGACTGTAAGGTTGTCTGTGGAAGAGGCCAGAACCTCGGCCAGTCTGACTTGGAAGCCTCCAACATCCAAGCTGCCACTTCCAGGAAGGATGAGTGTCTTCCAGGCCTGCCTGTCAGGTGCATGGCTCCAGGCAGGTGCACTGACGGAATGCTGATACAATCCTGCTCAAGCCCTGGGAAGGCCAGTTTCCCAGCATACAGTCACGTTCCACTAACAGGAACCACTCATCTGTAAATGGGGATAATATCTACTTTTCAGGGCTGTTAGGAGGACCAACTGAGATGGCATATTTGAGTGCCTAGCTCAGTGCCTGGCACAGAGAAGGCCGTGATAAACGAGCACTACTGCACTGGATTGCCGTTAGCCAGTTTTGCCAAGGTGGAGTAGTGCCTGGGTCGCTGCAAAAGGCATTAAAAGCACGAAGCTGAATTCTATTCCAGTTACTGCAGTACTTGGTTCAGCTTCAGACAAGGCCAAGGCCGGGAGAACCAGGAGAACAGCCGAGATGATCAGAGCCCAGCCTAGGGCCAGAGGGTACCCCAACCTGTTGGGTTCAAGCAAACAGAGGGAGGCCTGAATTAACACCACCTCCCACCACCCCAAACATCCTTACCATTCACTGCCAAGACCTATGGCAGAGGCAACAAGAAGCCACCTCAGGGTAAGACTCCGACAGCTTGGTCTGGGGCCCAGGCCAGATGGGGCTGAGGCGAGGAGCAGAACCACGGCCCATGTGCCCAGCAAGCTGTGCCAGCCCAGCCCATGCCAGCCCAGCCAAATTTGAGTTATATCAGGAGAAGGGATCTGTTCAGAAAACTCACCCATCTCTGTATATTTGCATATTCTATTTTGGGGCTCCTCCTTTTTTTTCCCTCAGCTTCCTAGAAAAGTTCTCGTGATCAATTCCAACTTCACCTCCGCTGAACTGAAAAAGGAGCCCTGGTGGCACAGTGGTTAAGAGCCTGCACTCCAACCAAAAGGTCGGTAGTTCAAATCCACACCAGCCACTCCTTGGAAACCGTATGGGGCAGTTCTACTCTGGCCTATAGGGTTACTATAAGTTGGAATTGACTCCACAGCAACGGTTTTTTTTTTTTTTTTTTTAATTGAAAAAGCTCACTCTCAATCCCATCTCCTCCCCAATTACCACCCTCTCCTTTGCCATCACCACCGAGGTTCTTCCAAGGGTTCTCTGCCCTCTCTGCTTCTATCCCATCCTCAAACCCTACAATCTGGCTTTGGTTCCACTGTAACATCTCCCCAAGGTCACAACAGCTCAAGTCAGCAAGTCCAAGGTCAGGCCTTCTGTTCCTAGGTTTCTCTGTGGCAGCTGACACCACTGACCATGCCCTTTGTCCAGTTCCTTCCACTCCATTGGCTTTAGTAACTTCTGCTCTCACCTTCCCAGAAGCTGCAGATTCTGCCCCCCTCCCCCACTCCAATTTCCATGTCCTACGAAGTCTAACTGCTTAGTGGCTATCTATTTTCCTCTACCTCTCCCTGGAAAGCTGAATTACCTTCTCACATGACACATGCCCAGTCTTCTACTTAAGACTTTCTGATCATTATCTTCACCCAGAAACATCTACATCTCTACGTGGCTGTCCCATGGTACCTCATGCTCAGCGTGTCCAAAACTGGTCTTGTATTCCCAATCCCTTATTCTTGCTGTGCTACCCATGTTACATCCTGGCTGCCTTCTCCCTCTCCCTCACCCCAGATCCAGTCCTTTCACATCTCACACCACCACCCGCCAGCTCCCCTGCTGCAGCTCTGTAGAGGCCCCCACCATGTCCCATCTGGAGGTAACCAAGCCTCCTAGCTGGTCTCTCAACCACCAGTCTCACTTCCCACAAATCCAGCCTCCACACAGCTGTCAAATTTATCTCACACACAAATCTGGTCCTCCACTGCCCTGCCTAAAGCTCCTTAGCCTGATCTGGCCCCTCACTCCTCCACACTTCAGAGGCCGCCGACAGTGGTAGAAAAGAGCACCAACTTTGGAGTAAGATAGACCTGAGTTTCTAGGCCTACTAGAAACTGCCTAACCATTATGGGCAAAAGAACTCATCTCTCTGAACCTTGGCATTCCCCATCTGTAAAACGGAGGTAACAGTACACTCACCTTTTCCAAAGACGTGATACCAATTCCTAGTCTCTCCAACCCCACTTCCACACTGATAGGTCAGCCTGTCATCTTTCCTAAGTAGATAATTGTCACAGCTTCTCACAGATCTCCCTGCCTCAAGCTTGCACCTACTCCCACCCCATCTATTCACCACACAGCAGCCAGAGTGATTTTCCTAAAATCTGACTCTCCCCAATTAACTCTTCTCTAACTCTCCATCGTCCTCAATGTAAGTCCAATTCCTTAGCATGGCTTAAAATTCTCTAGCCCATCTACCTATCCATCTCAATCCCTACTGACGTACAGGTCCACAGGAGCCATGTTTTCTTCCCTCTCTCATCCTCTGCAAACATTCCCTTTTGCCTGGAATACACTCTCTCCTGCTCAAACCCTCCTTATCCTTAAAGTTTGTTTGGATGCCACTTTCTCCAAGAAGCTTTCCCTCACCACCCTGCCCCCAACCCAAGTTAGCTGCCCTTCCCATGAGCCCCCATAGCCCACTGTACTGGCCTGCCATAGTTCTCATCAGGCTTTTCTGTAAACATCTGTTTATGTATCAACAACACAGCTCTATGCAAGCAAAGACCCTGCCATGTTTACCTGGCACAGAGTAGAGGTTCAATTAATGTTTATTGAAAGAGTGAGGCTTTGGGTTGAAAGAGACAATGGTGAGGAATGTGTCCTTCGGCCCATGGAAAGTCCCAGGCTCAGTAGGGGTACTTATTAAATCCAACATATACTATTTAAAACATGGCCACAGGAAGCACAAAGACAACTTGCCAAAGCCCTGGAGGAAAGGGATGACAAAGAAGGGAAATTGTGGAGAAGCTCAATTCTGGGAAGCAGGATAACCGGTACTTGGGGGTCAGTTTCAGGGATAGGGCAGGGTTACTCAAAGTTCTGCAGCATAAGGGGCAGGGGAAGTTAAGAAGCCCCAGTGCCTTTGAAGGCAATCCTTGGGGACAGGGTGAGGGCTGCCACAGAATGGAAACCAGCTCTAGGCGAGCTGTATCATGGGGACAGGAAAGGCTGTGTCAGCCCCATTTGACCAGAACAGACCCATGAGGATGGAACTGGCCTTTGTTCCCACTAAAAGCAAGCAAGAGACACTGGATTCGAAGACAGAAGCCTCCTGCTCTTTGTCCCCAACCACAAGGAGGCAGTGGGGCCCCAGGCAGACCACTGAGGCACAAACAAGCCTGGCACAAAGAAGACTGGCGAGTTCCAAACCTTTTCTGCCAATGCAAACCTCTCTCAACATTAATCCTAGGATTGAGAGGGGAATGCAGAGACTTATCAAATTTTCTGGAAGACAGAACAATGTGCTGTTTGCACCAGATCTGGAATAGTGGGTCCTTTTGAGTACCTCACTATCAATATCACTGATAAACTGGAAGTCATTCAGAACAGGATGTGCTGGGGACTAAAATGACAACAGGCCAAAGGGACAGGCAAATCACCACTCCCCTCAAGTAACTGAAGTCCTGCTAACACACAAGAGGGAGCAGGCTTGTTCTATGTGGCCCCTCAGAGCAGAAAGGGGACTGAGAGGTAAACACTCTGGGGAACAGTTAAAGGCCAGAATAGGCAGTCCTTATAAGTAGTAAGTTTTTTTATCCTAGGAGGTGACAAGCAAAAGCTGAACGGCCACAACGTTGGATGCTATGAGTGGAACGTTTGCCAAAGGCAAGGGGCTGGAGCAGACCTCTGAGCTCCTTTCCACCCGTGTTAGTTCCCAAATGAACTGAAACACCACCTGAGGGGAAGGGGTTTTTTCCTAACAAAGTATTCAAAGCAGGTGAAACCCACTTGCTCGACTTGGACATGTCTGTGACGCCACAGGGAACACTGTGCCGGGGGAAGGACGGCACAGGCGGATGGAGCAGCAGCTTGCGGGTCGGCGCCCTCTCTTCAATATTAAAGCTGAGCCCTGCTCACGTTGCTGTTGTTGTTTAGTGTTGTTATTTAACTGCTCTTGAATAGACGCCGTCAGGACAAAGAGGGCCCGGGGACCCAGCCTCCTGGCGCAGCTCTCAGACCTGGATTCTGGCATCATTACAGAACAGTCATCAGAGAATGCTTGGTGAGGCTAGGCCCGGTGAGGGGCAAGGAATCTTTTGGAAGCCTTTGGGAGAGGGAGTGAAGGGGAGAGCAACCTGCCTTCACCTGCTCCTCTGAAGGTCTAGCCAGCCTCTCCCCAGACTGCTGCCATCTCAGAAGCACGTGCCTCTCTGGTCATAACAGCAGCCACCCTGAAGACTGGGCAGCAGCCCTGTTCTAGTCTTGGGCACACCCTGAGAATGCCACATCCCAAAATGCCAAAAGATCCCAGGGCTACTGCTAGAAACTTCTCCTAAAAGTGAATGTGGACATCACAGAGCTGAAGTATCCCCATGACCTGTGTTTAAAATTCTCCATCCAGGGCCCAGAACCAGGGGTCTGCAAGCTCCCTGATACCACAGCACCAAGACCCACATCCCTTGCTACCCACTGCCTCCACCAGCTCAGATCAGCCAGAAAGGGCACGCATTGGACAAAGCAGAGAGAGCTGACCATCGGATAGGTGTATTGGGGAGAAGACAGATGGCGGCACTTTCACGAGTGCCTCCCATGGGCAGCAGCCTTTGCAGCCTGCTGAGGGCTGGGGAGGAGCTGGGAGTTCAGGGGGCTCCTCCAGCAAAGATGAGCTCCAGGGCCGCTTGGATGTCCCCCCCAGTGGCCTGCAGCGCCCGGAGGCTTAGCTCGTCATCCTGGATGCCCATGTCACGCAGCTGCTGCAGCTGGGGCTGCCACTGGCTCTGTGGAAAGACAGAAACAGGCAGAAGCTGTTAGCAGGGATTCTAAGGATGACTCACTTAGGTCTATCCTTTCGGAGTGAGAAAGGAAGGTGAGATTCCTACAGCAATGTTTCTGCTAGTAACCTCCAGAGAACACGGGGCTTCGGGGAAGGCTAAAAGATGGGCTTGAGGGTTTGGAGAACAAATTCAAAGTTTTATAATAAAAAAGGGAAATTTTAGCATAAGGATCAAAAGAGAACGCACAAATTACTTAATGTCTAAATTCTAAGAGACCAAGTTACTTGTGTTTCTCCGGATGTATATCCATATATAGATACAGATAGGCATATACACACACATATGTCTATAAATAGGGGTGAATAAATCTTTAAATTATTTCATTTTTGAACATGAATGCAGTGAAAAATCTTACTCTCATTCACTCCCATTCTCACCCAAAATAACCAATTTGATTTGTTTCTCTGAGGAAATACACTTACCTTTTTCTTATACCTCTATTCTACACCTTTCCCCACCTTCTTTTTTAACATAAGCAATCTAAGAGATCTTTTCATGCCAGTACATAAAGAAATTTTCTTTAACACATAATATTCCATACCATGGGTGCACACTGCACTGTTTTCCATCGTGTGCCATTATAAACAATGCTGCAATGACTAACTGTACAAATGTCATTTCTACATGCAGGTACATCTCTAGGATAAATTCCTAGAAACGGGACTGCTAAGAATTTCACGGGTTTAAGGCCCTCCGTGTTTCCTTTCCAGTGAATTGTCTCTTCATATCCTTTGCCCATTTTTCTACGGGGCTATTGGTCCTAGATTTCTAGGACCTCTACATATCAGGGAGATTTGTCCTTTTCACATATTGTTACAGGCTTTTTCCCAGTTCATTGTTAGCCTTTAGGCTTTGCTTGTTCTTTGGTTTGGTTTGATTTGCCATGCACAAATTTTCACTTTTGTGAACTCAAAATTTATTACTCTTGGACTTCCAGAACATAAGAGAATAAATTTGTGTTGTTTTAAGTCACACAAAAAAATTTTTGTTTTACTCTTTTATTTAGTGGCTTCTAGATGTTTGCATTTCAGCTATGAAGGCCTTCTCTACTAAAAAGATGTAAGGAACTCCCCCCAGACATTCTTCTAGTACTTTCATGGCTTCACTGACATTTCACGGCAGGAGGGAAGTGCCCAGCTTAGCCGGGAAAATGTGTTCACATATGGGAAGGAGAAGGCAGTGGGGATGAAACGTAAATTCGGAGAGGTTGGCTGGGGTAAGGCTGCTTAAAAAATCACACAAATCAACTCAGTGGCAAGGTAGAGCCACAGAAAGCTTCTGAGCTGGAGAGCAAAGTGAGCAGGTATCCAGCTCGCAAAGGTGAAGAAACAAGATCAGCTGTCTGTGTGTTCCCCTGGCTGTCCTCGAGGACCTCGCGGGTAGTAGAAACAACACAGGCTCGAACCATCTCTACTACTCAATGGCTCTGTGACCCTGGGCAAGTTACACGCATGTCGTTTCCGCCACAGGCTTACTGTGAGGAGTAAAGGAAGCCGACATGAAGCAACCAGCTGGTACACGGCAGCATGCAGTAATACCTGTCTCTTGGGTCTTCCACTTAGCTACAGACGGCCCTTCTATGAAGCAGAGTGAATGGTGTCTCCCGGCTTGGCATTCAAGGCCCCTCATCCTCAGGCTCCTGCTGTCTTTCTCTGACTTCATCTCAGGGTCTTTTACACTAGGCCTTGTAGTTTTGAGTATGTTAAACATACCTCCACACATTTGCTCAGACAGGTAGCTGCCTCTGCCTAGAAACCACCCTTCCAACCCCCAACATCCCCTACCCTGCCTGGCTAACCTCTAATTAATTCTGTGTCAATCAGCTCAGATATCCCTTCCTCAGACCTCACCTCCAGCCTGGCTGGGCTTCTCACCTTGCTGCCCCCCAGTTCAGTAACTCCCTTTGTCCCTCCATGGCAGGGAAGAGGACTGTCTCACCACTAACCCCAGCATCTGGACCCAGGCCTAGTATATACATGCTCGATGCTCAGTCAACACTCACTGAATAAATGAATGAATGACTCCTTGACTAAACTCCCGTGGCTTTCTAAGCCAGGCAGTCAGTGGTGTCAGGCCGTGGTCACTGGGTGCAAGAGTGGAAGCCAGAGGACAACAGCCCTTGCTGGGAGCATTCCTCACCTGTCACACTGCCATGCCATGCCCCTGCTGTACCTAGAGAGAAGCATGCCTGAAGCCTCTTCTTCCTCCTGGATCTGGCCATAAATCTATTCTCTTTCTGAGGTCTCCAGAAAGCAGAAAAATGCTTCGAATCCAATGTAACTAGGAAGCCCCATGGAAAACAGGAAGTAGGGAAGACTGACCTGGAGACTGGGCTGCCCAGAGGCCTGCAGAGCATGTTGTAGAGCTTGACTGAAGAGATCATTGGTGATGGGCGTCCCTGACTGGACACCAGAGGACATTGGTGAAGTCCCTGAGGAATGGCCCTACAGACAAATCAGTGTGGTCAGTGCCACCTGCCGAGCTACCTCAATCTCACAGCAGATACCCATTGCTGACACATCACCCTGTGGTACCCAAGAAGTACCACACTACTACTACTGCCTCCCAACAGGGGCTTGGCCATGAGACAACCACATAAAGGTCCCTGAAAGCTCTCCACGTGGGCAGGACAGGTTCCATTCTCTTCCACTCTGGGGAACTGGAATCTAAGCCCCAGACCCAGCCGGGACCGCCAGCACTGGGAGAGATGGCTCAGAAGCTGGGATGGACCTGGTACCAGGAATGCTTAAGCAGGTAATGTCTGGTCCCTGGCAAAGATGTGGAAGGACATATTATGTGAGGGGAGAGTCTTCAACTACCAGAAGGAACCAATCAGGACTGTGCTGAACCCCAGACTTCTCAATCCTAAAAGCAAGTGTGAGAAAAACTCCCCCAGAGGTGCAGTGAGAAATCCCAGCTTGGGCTCCAGGCAGAGTTCAGTGCAAACCAGAGTCAGCAAAGACAAACCCATCTTACCACTAGAAGCTTCAACCCTGGGGGCTGGCTGAGATCTTCCCGGCCCTCTCTCCATACCTGGGTGCCAGGAGTCGGCGTGTGAGAGCTGCTCTCTGGAGTGCTGGCCAGGGCCAGGGCAGTGGCCAGCTCACTCTGGGTGATGGGTCGGGGCCCAGCAGCTCCACTGTACCCCAGGGAGGCTGGGCGGGAGCTGGGTGTGCTGCTAGAGGGCGTGGACCTGGTGCTCTGGAGAAGGGAAGCATCCAGAATCAGGGAAGCAGCATCGTGAAATTCCGCATTGAACCCCACCCCCATTCCAGGAACAGTTCTTAGGGAGACTTCCTAAGCTTCCAGGTTCAGAAAGGAATCCACGACAAGGAACAGTATAACATGGGCTTGGCAACCGAAGGACAATGACCATCCCAGGCTTGGGAGTACCAGGTCCCAGCCAGGGCCACATCTCAGACACCATCTCCCCCAAATGGCAGGCAGCCAGACCACTTACTGGGTGAAAGTCATCCTCATCATCTGAGAGCCCTTCAAACAGGAAGCCACCTGAGGGAGGGAGAACAGATTTCAGGAGGAAGAACAGAAAGATACAGGCGCAGCTCCAAAATCTCAGCTCAAGTTACTCTCCAAATTCCTATTTTCATCTCTCCCTTTGGAAAATTACAGGACAGATGCACTTCCTGACTCAAACTGAGAGCTCCCGAGGAACGCCCTCCGCCAGCGCTATACATAGCTGCTGGGGTAAGCACATCCCAGGCATTGTCGGCTCCCGAGGGCCCACCTTACGCTCTCCTGGGGCTCACCTGGCATGTCCCGGTACACGCTGGAGGGCATGCTCCGGGAAGAGGAGTCGGCCCCTGGCAGCGGGGTGCTGCCCGCCACCGAGTGCAGAACAAGCACGATGGCATTGACCAGGGCCGGGTGGGCAGGCACCAACCTGGCAGAAGGAAACCCAAGGGTGACTGAGAAGCCCAACACTCTCCACACGCTCCCTGCCCTTGGGCTTTGTCGTCCCCTAAGAAGCCCTTGCTCTTTCTGTCCTCCACACCAACCTGACATATTTAGAAGGTAGACCTGGTGACAGACTGGGAATGGGCTCCAAGAGCAGAACCCATTACTCTTAGGGTTTAGGTTTCTTGGGCCAGACCAGTTAGGTTTCTGGCCCAACCACATGAGGATATATAAGATGCCCCTTAATAAGACGGTTACACTTACGTATCAAGCATGTTGGGATCAGCGAAGACAGAGAAGAGGTCCTTGTCTTGAAGAACCCCTGAAAAAGAACAAGGCTCACCTCAGAGAATAGATTTATGGCCAGATCCAGGAGGAAGAAGAGGCTTCAGGCCTCAGAGCAAGAGGCTAGACAAGGACATAGGACCACAAGCCAGCCCGCACGAGAGGCAGGAGGAAACAAAGCACCAAGTAGCACAAGGCAGGCACTTTCCATCCTATTGCTCCATCTTGTTCCAGTGGAGATATTCCCTACTTACCACCTCCCACCTGCAGTTAACACACACTGAGTACCAACTACACCCCTGCTGCTTCCTCCCCCTACATCTGGGTGCTTGCCTGATCTATGAAGGCTTGCAGCAAGTCTTCCCTGATGGCTGTGGTTTGGGCTGTTGTCCTCATTTATGATTTAAGCCACGATCTCTCCACAGGAATGAGTTCTTAGAGGGCTGGGCATATCTAACACATTTTGGTTACTCTTCCTTCTCACGAGATCAGCAATTCTTCAAAAAACGGTCAAAGTCTCTTTAGGGTAATTGCTTTTTCCTGGTTTCTCCTCTGCCAACAACTCCTACTTCCTCAAGTTCACTCCTGCACTTACCAAGAGCAATAGGGTCACTGCTGAGGCCCGGGGTGGCCACAATGATCTGATCCAGAGATTCCTTATTGCTGAGCATCTTAAAGACCTGCAGGAGAAGAAGGGGAGGGCTAAGCATTCCAACCAGCACGATCCACTACGCAAATACCCACTCTCTCCTCAAGTGCTTGCACACAGGCCACCAAAATGGAACAAGAGCCCCAGGAAACAGATGAACCTCTTTTTATTCTGTGTGGCTTACAGGAGGGCAAAGAAACAGTAAAAAAAAAAAAAAAAGCAAGACCACAGTAAACCTTCAGTCTCTGGTCCTCTCCCTGAGATACAGTTCTAATGCTTCCAAAATAAAAGCTTCCATTTTACAAGCCCGATAACAAAGGTTTTCCCAGGCCCCAGAATTCCTTTTCAATTTCCATATCACTATCATTTCACATTCATATAGATTGGGAATTTCACAGCTGTATTAATTTTGCTTGTCAACTCTCCTATAAAAAGGCATCAGCCCATTTCCCCAGAGAAGAAATCCAGGTAAGGGGCGATGGACAGGCAGTTTGGCCAGAGTCAAACAATGAGGCCCACAGAAACAGTATCTGGATCCTTTGGCTGCAACCACGCTCCTTTCACGAGGCCACTATCAGGAGAGGTTGTATCATTATCATTAGAGGGAATCAACAACACCTGGCTGAGAGCCTCTGTGGAGAAGATAGGGCTCTACTGAGGCCCACAGACTCCCCGAGGAACTCTTGGTTGCCATGGCAATGGGCTACCAGCTCCCACTCTACATCACTCGCCAGTGTTCACACCCTCTCCTGCAGTCCTGGCAGGAGTCTGGGGCTGGGGGCCGCGGTGCACTCACCGCCTCTCTGTAGGACGAGCTGCTGTGCAGGGCAGTGTGCAGCACCCGGAACTCCCTCATGGCAGCCACTTTGTCAACAGGTTCTGAGGACAAGACACAGTCACCCTACAGCCCAGGCCCTGGCCCTGCCACCAACCCGCAGCATCACTTCAGCATGTGCCCGGGTGCAGCCTGGCCTAGGGGTTCCCCTTCCTCATTGCCCCACTGAACACGTGAGTGCCCATCCAGAAAAGCCCATTTATGCCACAGATGTGAACACTGCACTCCCTTTTAAGAGTTTTAATAGATAAAACAAGCAAACAAATTCAAGTTCCAGCAGAGGGGAATGTTATCACATACAAGAGAATGTTCTGATCAATATCCCACTGCAGGAATTCTAGACTTCTTACATTTGGACAGGAGGAAGGTCTATTCAACTCAGTAGCCTCATACACAGTGATTTAAAATAAGTGCTGCAAACCATCTTAACCCTCTGCAGCTATGTTGACACAATATGTTAAGAGAAAGAAATAGAACAAAGTTGTATGTGCATTCTCTGGTATAACTACATAAAACGTGTCAGTGTGCACATGGTCCAAGGCTGGAAGAGGATGAGGAGAAGAACAGCACTTAGGTGGGGCGACAGGATCACAGGTAATCGTTATCTCTTTGGTATTTTCTTTCTGGCTTCTGTACTACTATCTTGAACTTAAAAGAAAATACAAGAAGGACCAAAAAAACACACTGTACTTCAAAGGCTCTTAACAAACTTTCATACATGCTTGACAGCAAATGTTTCACTGGGGCCCAAAACTCCTTTTTGGTCTCTAGACAACTATTATTTATATATGTGGAAAGTTTAGCAGTTGACTTAGTTATACTTGATTACCTACCTATTTTAGGACATCGGCCTATTTCAAAGGTGAAGAAATGTGGGTTAACGGTGGAGGGTGCAAAGTAGGCAGCTCCCCCTGGGTCACACTTTTAAAAGTATGGTTGTTCTCACCCAGGACCACCACTTATGCCTGTATAGACTGTGTACTGCCCAAGTCCAGGGGGCACCACCCCCAAAACAAGGTGAATGGCACCCCTGGGGCTGCTCAGCATGGCAGCCACATTCTTACCCATGGTCCTAATCGTGAAGGTTGTCTCTTGAAAAATATTCATCTTAAGTAAATTATTTAAGGAGTTCGTTCAACAAGCATGTACTGGATGTCTACTCCTTGTCTAGTTTTAGGCAAGAGACAGGAATACCTAAAGGATAAAATAATGCCTACAGAAAAAGTCTACCATCAAGCAACTCTTAGGACAATAGCAGAAAAAGAGATCAGAACAAACACACACTACAAAATACTCAGCTGAGGGCCTCAGCAGAGATGTGCATCCTGGGCACTAGGGACACAGAGGCAGTGAACCATCACTGAGGAGAAGGAGGTAGGACACTGCGCTCCCTCCCAGAGAAGAGAGTTTGAGCAGATGTTTCCTGGGAGGAGAAGGCATTCTGAGCCAAGTGAGAACATGTGCAAATGCAGGGAGGAATAAAAGAACGTGGTGCTTTGAAGGAGCAGCGAGTTGTTTTATGTGGCTGGAGCTCAAGGTACATATCTCTGCTCAACAGCAGGCCAAGATAAGACCCTGAAAGGGTTTGCAACTGGCCTCGGAGAACTACCAAAGGAACCCAGGTGGGAAGGGTGGGACTGACAAGTTCCCCTCCTAGAGGCTCTAATCCAGTGGGAGATGAGGAAACATACTTGCTTTTAGAAGAGGAGTGCTCAGGGATAAAACAGCCAAAACGTCTTCACAAAAACAGTGTCTTTTCAGATTCATTTTCACCCCCCAATAAAAAGTCCACTTGTATCGAAAATAAATCTCTAGTCAGAAAGTGGGGAGGAAAGGGGCACTTAATATCTTAAGCCGATAATCAGCTAAGAGTAATGGGTATCTCAATAACATCTCTGAGCTAATTTCACCCTTTGGAAGTGGGAGGCAGCCAACCCAGTGGAAAGACACACTCTTGAGCCAGGAAGACCAGGGTTCACATCTCAGCTTTGGTATTCATTTTCTAAGTAGGTGACCTTAAAGAAACGCCTTTCTAACCCTTTCTCTTCACCTATAAAATGCTAATGCTGTTACCTACCTTGCAGAGACACTATAATGATTAAATGAGATACCAAAGAAAAGAAAACCTAGCTCATAGAAGCAACAAATGTTACTTTCCTTCTGTCAATGCTCTTGAGCCAAAGACCATCAGGGGCACACCTGCAGTTGAGCAAATTGGGTTTACTGCGCCTTGTAGACAGGGAGGATGCACACCATGGGGAACCACAGGGTGTCTCAGTAAGAGGGTAGTGAAAGGACTTATTATAGGATTTGGTTGTGTGATTTTGGGGGAAGTTTAAGGAAGCCAGATTTTGCTCTGCATTGGATGCCATCAGGAAGTGGGGCTGATTTTATGCTTGGCTAGCTAGAAGGAAGGAAAACTAGAGCAAGGCTAAAGCTGTAACCGGTAGAGAAGCAGCAGTCACTCGTGTTAGCCAGAATAGAGCAGTACTTGGTCATTTTTGTGGTTTGGACAATGTTCAGGTTTTTATCTATACTCAGACACCATAGGAATCTCGTTTTTGTCTTGATCCACCATGGTCTCAGCGTATGTGGTCTCGTCGGTTGCTGATGATCTATGAAACTGTTTATGTTCAACATGAGAACAGCAAGACCTAGCTGATAGTACCAGGCCAGCCCCCAGACATCAGAGGTCGCTTTTCTCTTTCTCACGTCCCATCAGTATACAAAAGATGTTTTTGCCTTTATGTTTAGAATTGAAAAACAGAGTAAATTTTCAAGCTGATAACTAGTCATATAAAATATTTCAAAATGCCAGTTTAATTAAGCTAATCTCCTTTATATAACTTAGCTTTATCCTTGACGAGGTAATTTAAAACACAAATGCAAATTTTAAATTATGAACTCCAAGCAGCACCTTTTATTAATAAATCAAGAAGGCATTAGAGGCTTTGTATATTTTCTCCAAGAGCTACTTTAATACTGTTTGAATATTTTCAAGCTTCAGGAAAATAAATTACTAGTACAGTAGGAGTTAACTGACTGAGCAAATCACTACCTGAGGCAGTTGTAGGAAGAGAACAAGCTACAGCACTAGAGAAGTGCAAGAAGTTTCCAGCTTCTTTCTAATGAGAACGATCTAACAACAACAGGGCACAAGGTTCACTGAGAAATAAGCTCTTAACCTAAAGTAATTTTAAATAAACACACACTCCCCATCTCATCAGAAAACAATGGGTAATGAACTTAGAAAGTAGAGAAGTGGTGCTGGCAGTAGCAAGGTCAAAACTGGCCTCTGTTTACCAATGTGGTCTAATCCAATAAGTAATAACAGTATCACCTATAACCATCTCAGTAAATCACCCCTTCATTTCACCCAGGCTTGTGCCTTGAGAACACCAGACCCATCCCTTACAGATATTACAGAAGCTCTGCCTATCAAAGGGCCAGCCCCGCACTCACCTGGTTTCTGATCAGGCTCGGGCCAGGACTTGCGCAGAACATGGACTGTGGACCCAGGTTGAATGCCATAAAAGTCAAGGGTTTGATCATCTTTTAGCTTCCGGCCACAGTAGATCAGATCTAAAAAAGGAGCAGCCTATTTATACTTTACTCCTCAAAACAATTTAGATAGTTGGTTTCTGTCCTCAGAGAAACTTATCTTGATTGGAGAGATAGTAGAGAATGATATATGCTTTAAAAGATACTCTTACTTAATAAACGCATTTTAACAACTGTTAGCAAGTACAAACTCACAAAACGGACTTAAACAGAATCTGCCCACAGGAAAGTCCTACAGCTTAAAACTGTGAAGACTGCTCAATTTAAAAGAATGGAAAAAATTCAACAACAAAAAAAGGATGAACCCAGTACCAGTATGACTGGAAAAGCACTTTTGGGCAGTTGGATCACTTAGCTATTAAAAAAATGCAACAACTGCGGGCTGGATGAACTCCTGAAACTATTGCCCTGAAATAATCTTTAAAACTTAAACCAAAATATCCCGACGTCTTCTTAAAACCAAACAATAGTTTAGCTTAACTAGTAAAAAAATGTCTCCCTTGAGCATTATGCTCTTTTAAGAACTATCTATATGCAATCAAATTGACAACAGCTACTCAAAAGATTAGCTAGGAACATTGGGGGTAGTGAGTTTATATTAACGGAGAAGGAACAACTCAGAAAATGAGGGTGAGAACGGTTGCACAACTTGAAATGTAATCAATGTCACTGAACTGCACAGTAGAAATGGTTGAATTGGAATATGTTTTGCTGTGTATATTATCAACAACAACAAAATTTAAACAACAACAACAAATTCCTCCCCCCGGAATGCCCTGCCATCTTCATTTCCTTTTTTCCTGCCATCCCTCTAACCAACTAACCAAACAAAAATTCTTATCACTCCTTAAGGCCTCTTTCAAATGCCATATACTAGGGAGCCTCCCCTGACCAGCCCCTCCTTCCCTCCCCACCCCTAATTTTTGCACCTTCAGAGAAAGAATTCAACAATGTCATAGTTTAGGAACTTTATATAAAGTAGTTCAGTATGATATATAATTGAACTGGCAACCAATAATTTTATTATATGATTGTATTTCTATCTGCCCAACACTCACTTCCCTGAAGTGTTAACATTATGAGGCAACAAATTCCACGCTCTTTATTTACTCTTATAATTCCAGAAGTCTCTTGCCCAAAAAGAGATCAGAGCAGCAGCTCATCCCTAGTCCACAGAGACTCACCAATCAGCTCAGGGTCTGGAACAGATTCCTGCAGCTTGCCAGCAATGAGCTGCTTCAGAAATGAAATACTATAGCCTCCCAGCGAGTATTCTCCCAGCTCTGTCTCTGGCAACCGCAGAATGGACTTTGGGGCGAGTGGCTGGTCAGCCAGCTTCACCGCCAGGTGCCAGTCTGAGAGAGACATTCTCTCTCTTTCACGCTCTCTCTTTCTCCCTGTAAAAGAACAAAACTTTAGTGGTTGAAGGCCAGACTGTACCCCTACTCCACCCCACCCCATCAAGGGACTGAAGGAGAGATAATCAGGATAACACTGTTAGAAAAGCACCGGATGCAGTACCAAGAGGCCAGAACTTGAGTCTGGGGTCCTCTCTTTACTCACCCTGTGATGGAAGGCAAGGCATTTCAGCTCTCTAGGTCTCAGTTTCTTCATCTTTAATGTGGACATTAAAAACACTATGCAACCTAATAGGAATGTTGTGAGGTTCAAATGAGATCATCCATCCCTCTCCCTTCTCTACACCTTCTTATTTTAGACTTTTTTCTATCAACTGTTGATTGAACTTTTGCAACAGCTTTCTAACAAGTTCCCTACTTCTTGCCTCTCCTCTATCAAATATCCATGCTGCCACTCCAGTCATCATTTTAAAACACAGACCACTCCTCTGCTCAGAACTCCTCCAATGGCTCCAAACCACCTCTATGAATAATTCTAAACTACAGAGCCTGGCTTACAAAACTGCTCACATTCTGCCCCCTCTGCCAGCCTTTCTCACAGACAGAGCCCTGTCCTGTCCCCTACCCACAACATATAAGTACACTCCATTAAGCTTCCATTCGTAACAAAGCTCTCATTTTACACCTTTTCTCTCTATGGCCTCTTAGCAAACTTCTACTAAGATTAACCCAAATACAACCTCCTGTCTCCTCTCCCTTTCTTAGGCTCTCCTTCCTCTGTTGTTCCCACAATCTCCCTCAGGGAAAAGGGCTACAAATATCTGTTACTTCTCAGTCTCCGCCACTATTCTTGGAGACTCTTGAGAGCAAACACTAGAATTTTTCGCCTTATTGTCCCAATGCCTGGTCCATAATGGATACCCAAAAATTGCATCAGAAACTCTGATGGTTGAGGAATCTTGTAAGGCAGGACAAGCCCTTGTTTAAGTCATCATTACTGCTTCCAAAGGGACCTCTAGTGGAGAGAAGGAACGAGAAGGCTGTGAGGCTGCCCAGCAGATGCCACGGCATCCTCAAGGTACCATCCACCTCAAGAATAATCACAGGAGAAGGAATAGATCTTTTCAGATACCATATCTCGCTTAATCCTCACAACTGTTCCCTGAGGCAAGCATCATTCACATTTTGGGATGAAGAAACCGAGACTAGGAAGATGAAGTCACTGGCCCAAGGTCACAGAACTAGCTAGCTGTCGGGCAGGGACACTCTCTCTGTGGCAAACCCACCGCTCCCGTAGGACCATCTAACTAGAGGACACATTGCGAGGCCCAGCAACCCGGGTCCCAGCGCCCTCACCCGTCCCGCGGTAGGAACCCGGCCGCAGAGCCGCCGGTGTAAACACTCACTCTGGTCCTCCCGCCGGAAACCGGAAGCTCCGCGCAGCATGCTGGGAGTTGCAGTTCCCGCTGCCGCTCCCGCCCCTTTAACTAGCCCGCCTGCAAGCGGAGCCAGTAGCGGAGCTTCCGGTTCCGGGGAAGGCGTGGTCTGTAGGCCGTTTGAACGCCCTGGCGGGAGGGTCTCTTCAGACTTTCTCGAGGAGGGCTCCTACCTCCTGCCACTCTCCCGTTGCGCTAGTCGCGAAAGGGAGGCTTCGTGACACCCATGTTCTTCTTAGAAGGATATAAAGTCCATCGGTTATGCCGGCTTGTGACAGTGCTGTCTGGTGGGAACGCCCTCGGCCTGATCGCAGACCCGGATCCCCACTTACTCTGACCCTTCCAGCTGGGAGGGTCCCTTCCCTAGCGGCCTCTTCAGACACAACCCCGAGCCCCCGCGAACAGTTCCCGGTAGCTCCCACGATGAAAACGGCTGCCTGTTGGGGTGAAATAATCCTCTTTTGTGCTCCTCACCACTGACTTCTGGCGGAGAACCTACCTATGAAGACCTACCAGGAATCGAACGATGAGCTCCCCAACCTCTAAAATTGGGTCTTCGACGGGAAACCCAAATTGGGTTCCTGGTACGCGCCCGATATGCAATGGTAGAGTTTATGTAACAGTCATTCATAGACTCAGGGAAGGGGGATTTCCACTGAACTCTTTTATATAGACTGCATATTTTAGATGACTGAAAAAGTTCTGCCCAGTTACAATTAGATGGTGTTTACAAAGAAGTTAGGATTAGCTAAAATACTGAAAAGGGCTACATCTGATTAGATTATATTTAAGTAATTAATCAAGGGCTAAGGAAAGTAAAAAAATAATAAAAAACCCACTGCCGTCCAGTCGATTCCGACTCGTAACGACCCTATAAGACAGAGTAGAACTGCCTCACAGGGTTTCCAAGGCTGTAATCTTTACAGAAGCAAACTGCCACATCTTTCTACCACGGAGCAACTGGTAGGTTCAACGCCTTACCTTTTGGTTAGCAGCTAAGCACTTAACCACTGTGCCACCAGGGCTCCAATAATAATAATAAAGCAGGTGAATATAAGAAAGTAATGAAGTTGATCACCGCAGCTAAAGGCACAAATGTAAATGCTTAACTCTCAAACATCCAAAATATTCAGACTGGGACCTGGGCAACAACTGAGCAGGCTAGCTTGACTGAGGAGAACAGACAGACTGCAGGGTCTGGGAATGCCTAAATTGGAGGTTGATCACCCTCTGCTGTTTTCATATGTAATGTGCGTGGTTTTCACAAAGTCTTTGTCATTCCAACTATCTTCAGGCGGCTGAAGCCCAGGTTCCTCATGACTGTTCCCAAGCTCCCTCTCCTTGTACAGGTCTTCCACAAGGGGTTCTCTTCTCCTGGAATGCTTTCTTCCACCCTAGCCTATCTCACGCATCTGTTGGTTTGTCACACTGTGGGGGCTTGTGTGTTGCTGTGATGCTGGAAGCTATACCACTGGTATTCAAATACCAGCAGGGTCACCCATGGCAACAGGTTTCAGCTGAGCTTCCAGACTAAGACAGACTAGGAAGAAGGACTCGGTGGTCTACTTCTGAAAAGAATTAGCCAGTGAAAACCTTATGAATAGCAGTGGAACACTGTCTGATACAGTGCTGGAATATGAGCCCCTCAGGTTGGAAGGCACTCCAAATACGACTGGGGAAGAGCTACCTCCTCAAAGTAGAGTCGACCTTAATGACATGGATGGAGTCAAGCTTTTGGGACTTTTATTTGCTGATGTGGCATGACTTAAAATGAGAAGAAACAGCGGCAAACATCCATTAATAATGAGAACGTGGAATGTACAAAATATGAATCTAGAAAAATTGGAAATCATCAAAAATGTAATGGAACACATAAAGATTGATATCCTAGACATTAGTGAGCTGAAATGGATGGGTTTTGGTCATTTTTAATCAGACGATCATATGGTCTACTATGCCGGGAACAACTTGAAGAGGAATGGCGTTGCATTCATCCTCAAAAAGAACATTTCAAGATCTATCCTGAAGTACCCCACTGTCAGTCATAGGATAATATCCATACGCCTACAAGGAAGACCAGTTAACATGACTATTATTCAAATTTATATACCAACCACTAAGGCAAAGATGAAGAAACTGAAGATTTTTACCAACTTCTGCAGTCTGAAATTGACCAAACGTGCAATCAAGATGCACTGATAATTACTGGTGATTGGAATGTGAAAGTTGGAAACAAAGAAGGATCGGTAGTTGGAAAATACGGCCTTGATGATAGAAACAATGCTAGAGATCGTATGATTGAATTTTGCAAGACCAACGACTTCTTCATTACAAATACCTTTTTTCACCAACATAAACAGCAACTATATACATGCACCTCGCCAGATGGAATACACAGGCATCAAATCAAGTACATCTGTGGAAAGAGACGATGGAAAAGCTCAATGTCATCAGTCAGAACAAGGCCAGGGGCCGACTGTAGATCAGTCCATCATTTACTCACGTGCAAGTTCAAGTTGAAACTGAAGAAAATTAAAACAAGTCCACAAGAGCCAAAGTACGACTTTGAGTATATCCCACCTGAATTGAGAGACTATCTCAAGAACAGATTTGATGCATCAAACACTAATGACCGAAGACCAGACGAGTTGTGGAATGACATCATACATGAAGAAAATAAGGGGTCATTAAAAAGACAGGAGAGAAAGAAAAGACCAAAATGGATGTCAGAATAGACTCTGAAACTTGCTCTTGAATGTCAATTAGCTAAAGCAAAAGGAAAAAATGATGGAGTAAAGAGCTGAACAGAAGATTTCAAAGGGTGGCTTGAGAAGACAAAGTCAAGTATTATGCTGACATGTGCAAAGACCTGGAGATAGAAAACCAAAAGGGAAGAACACGCTCAGTATTTCTCAAGCTGAAAGAATTGAAGAAAAAATTCAAGCCTTGAGTTGCAGTAGTCAAGGATTCTACAGGGAAAATATTAAATGATGCAGGAAGCTTCAAAAGAAGATGGAAGGAATACACAGAGTCACTATACCAAAAAGAATTGGTCGATGTTCAACCATTTCAGGAGGTAACATATGATCAGGAACCGATGGTACTGAAGGAAGAAGCCCAAGCAGTCCAAGCTGCACTGAAGGCACTGGCGAAAAACAAGGCTCCAGGAATTGACGGAATACCAATTGAGATGTTTCAACAAACAGATGCAGCACTGGAAGTGTTCACTCGTCTATGCCAAGAAATTTGGAAGACAGATTACCTGGACAACCGACTGGAAGAGAACCATATTTATGCCTATTCCCAAGAAAGGTGATCCAACTGAATGTGGAAATGATCAAACAATATCATTAATATCACACGCAAGCAAAATTTCGCTGAAGATCATTCAAAAGAAGCTGCAGCAGTGTATCGACAGGGAACTGTCAGAAATTCAAGCTGGATTTAGAAGAGGACGCAGAACCAGGGGTATCATTGCTGATGTCAGATGGATACTGGCTGAAAGCAGAGAATACAAGAAAGATGTTTACCTGTGTCTTATTGACTACGCTAAGGCATTTGACTGTGTGGATCATAATAAATTATGGATAACATTGCGGTGAATGGGAATTCCAGAACACTTAATTGTGCTCATGAGGGATCTGTACATGTATCAAGAGGTAATCGTTCAAACAGAACAAGGGGATACTGCATGGTTTAAAGTCAGGAAAGGTGTGTGTCAGGGTTGTATCCTTTCACCATACCTATTCTATGCTGAGCAAATAATCCAAGAAGCTGGACTATATGAAGAAGAACGGGGCATCAGGATTGAAGGAAGACTCATTAACAACCTGCATTGTGCAGATGACACAACCTTGCTTGCTGAAAGTGAAGAGGACTTGAAGCACTTACTGATGAAGATCAAAGACCACAGCCTTGAGTATGGCTTACACTTCAACATAAAGAAAGGAAAAATCCTCATAATGGGACCAATAAGCAACATCATGATAAACAGAAAAGATTGAGGTTGTCAAGGATTTCATTTTACTTGGATCCACAATCAACATCCATGGAAGCAGCAGTCAAGAAATCAAAAGACCCGGACTCTCTGTCAACCCAGAACTAAAACAATTCCTGAGGCCAACTCTTCAGACAAAGATTGGACTGGACTATGGGACATAAAATGATACTCATGAAGAGTGTGCTTCTTAGCTCAAGCAGATACATTAGACTAAATGGGCAGCTTCTGTCCAGAGGTGAGACGAGAAGGCTGGGAGGGTTAGGAGCTGGTTGAATGGACATGGGAAATCAGGGGTGTGGAAAGGAGGAGTGTGCTGTCACAGTATAGGGGGAGTAATTAGGGTCATATAACAATAAATGTATAAGTTTTTATATGAGAGACTGACCTGAATTGTAAACTTTCACTTAAACCACAATTAAAAAAAAAAAAAAGAAATCAAAAGACGCAGTGCATTGGGCAAATCTGCTGCAAAAGACCTCTTTAAAGTGTTGGAAAGCAAAGATGTCACTTTGAGGACTAAGGTGCGCCTGACCCAAGCCACGATGTTTTCAATAGCCTCATATGCATGTGAAAGCAGGACAATGAATAAGGAAGACGGAAAAGAACTGACCTCTTTGAATTATGGTATTGGCGAAGAATACTGAATATACCGTGGATCGCCAAAAGAACGAACAACTCTGTCTTGGAAGAAGTACAAACAGAATGCTCCTTAGAAGCAAGGATGGTGAGACTACGTCTCATACTTTGGACATGTTATCAGGAGGGGATCAGTCCCTGGAGAAGGACATCATGCTTGGTAAAATAGGGGGTCATGGAAAAAGAGGAAGGCCCTCAACGAGATGGATTGACACAGTGGCTGCAACAATGGGCTCAAGCA